GTCTGATGGTGTGTGTGAGTGCCTCACTCTCTTCCTTAATGGTCTTGACGAGCTGTTGTCAAAGGCTGATCGAAACAAGGGTGTTGAAGTAAGGCGCCTCTTCTGGTGGGTGGAGTGTGGCTGCGCATGTGCAGAGGTGCCTGGCACTACGAGGCCTCTCGTCGTGACCCGAGGCACTGCGTCACCCCTCTTGTGCCGACCTCACAAGAGGACCCACATAGATGGTTTTGGTAGTGGGCCTTGAGGGATAGAATAGAGAATCATATGGACACGTTGATGTTTGCATATATGCATGAAAGGCGCAGTGTAAGGTGAGAGACTGATGTCTTCCCCTCTTGTGCCGACCTCACTAGAGGGGAAGCTGCCGGAAAGTGATCCTCGACGACTATCTCCCGTCAACCAGGGCAACTTGCCACGCAAGCACGCAAGCAAAAATATATGGTAATGCGGTGTGAGACCGAATGCAATAGGCATTGAGATCGAACTAGTTCCATTAGTAGTAGGCATCCATCAGTCTTAGGAGACTATGGAGTTGCGGTCTGGTTGTCGGTCTGGAGTGGCCTCTCCAGGGTGCAAAGGCAGGGTAGGTTGATATGGTGAAGTTGTTACCCATGCAGCAGTATTAGTGTCATTAGTAGTTCCAATAAGATGGAACTACCGCTCTTTCATAGGTATTAATTGTATAATTTCGTATTTCAAGTTGACTCATTAACCAGCCTCACACACAGAGATCACACTAACGTGATGCATCAAATGAACAAATCCACAAGGGCCGTGACGAGGATTCGAACCTGCGTCCGGAAGCATCCCAGACACTGCCTTAATCGACTGAGCTACGACAGGGTTAAAAGGGTTGAAACTGAAGTTCTACTGAACTTACTGGATCCCGTAGCCTCTCCGAGGCACAAACCAGGCTTTTACACAACCCGATGCTCCCGGACGCAGGTTCGAATCCTCGTCACGGCCCTTGTAGATTTGTTCATTAACCAGCATATTCTCTTGATTTGCCAGAATGTACAAAATACAGAGTACTAACCAAACCAGAAATGTACAAACCTAACCTAACCTAACCTAATCTAACCTAACGATGCACAGAAAACGGGGATATCTGCGAGCCGCTAGTCTTCATGTAATTTGTCCGCTGGGGAACATAACGTTCAAAATATGACGTAATAGTTGAGAGGACGAGTTGCATGTGCAATGTTCTTATAACATTGTATCACTTGAATGTTGCTTCTTGCAATAATATATTAAATGTTCCTTAACTTCGTCAACGTTTTCAGTGCTGATCCGACGTTATATCAACGTTTACAGTCCCGTGTGTGTTATCACTGTCCCGTGTGTGTTATCACAGTCCCGTGTGTGTTATCACTGTCCCGTGTGTGTTATCACAGTCCCGTGTGTGTTATCACTGTCCCGTGTGTGTTATCACAGTCCCGTGTGTGTTATCACTGTCCCGTGTGTGTTATCACTGTCCCGTGTGTGTTATCACTGTCCCGTGTGTGTTATCACTGTCCCGTGTGTGTCACCATCGCGTGAGGACACTGACGGGTCCCGGGTCGAGGCCCCCACCACTGCCCATCCGCCCGACCCTCCCGCCACAAGTCCATTAGTGCAGAAATAAGAGTAAGGCGGCACATGGCACCTATCCCGTCTGGGCGTTGTTGGGGGGATAGGAGCAGCTGGTGGGTGCTGCGGATGGGTAGTGGGGGTAGTAGGTGGGTAGTGGGGGTAGTGGGTGGGTAGTGGGGGTAGTGGGTGGGTAGTGGGGGTAGTGGGTGAGTAGTGGGGGTAGTAGGTGGGTAGTGGGGGTAGTAGGTGGGTAGTGGGGGTAGTAGGTGGGTAGTGGGGGTAGTAGGTGGGTAGTGGGGGTAGTAGGTGGGTAGTGGGGGTAATAGGTGGGTAGTGGGGGTAGTGGGTGGGTAGTGGGGGTAGTGGGTGGGTAGTGGGGGTAGTAGGTGGGTAGTGGGGGTAGTAGGTGGGTAGTGGGGGTAGTAGGTGGGTAGTGGGGGTAGTAGGTGGGTAGTGGGGGTAGTAGGTGGGTAGTGGGGGTAGTAGGTGGGTAGTGGGGGTAGTAGGTGGGTAGTGGGGGTAGTAGGTGGGTAGTGGGGGTAGTAGGTGGGTAGTGGGGGTAGTAGGTGGGTAGTGGGGGTAGTAGGTGGGTAGTGGGGGTAGTGGGGGTAGTGGGTGGGTAGTGGGGGTAGTGGGTGGGTAGTGGGGGTAGTGGGTGGGTAGTGGGGGTAGTGGGTGGGTAGTGGGGGTAGTGGGTGGGTAGTGGGGGTAGTGGGTGGGTAGTGGGGGTAGTGGGTGGGTAGTGGGGGTAGTGGGTGGGTAGTGGGGGTAGTAGGTGGGTAGTGGGTACATTATGTGTGTAATGCTTCACAAGGTACGGGTTCCAGGCCGGTGCTGCATATCCCAATATTGCTCTAACAAAAGCCGAATAATTTCCCCTTGCAGGCGATGAGTCACAATAACGTGGCTACTGTATGTTGACCAGACCACACACTAGAAGGTGAAGGGACGACGACGTTTCGGTCCGTCCTGGACCATTCTCAAGTCGATTTGAGAGACTTTAGAATGGTCCAGGACGGACCGAAACGTCGTCGTCCTTTCACCTTCTAGTGTGTGGTCTGGTCAACTAATTTCCCCTTGGTCTCCCTATAGTCTCACAGACAGGCCTTTAGAAACTTGTGTAAGGAATCTTTCAGAACATTATACACCACATATGTCAGACCAATCCTGGAGTATGCGGCACCAGCATGGAGTCCATATCTAGTCAAGCATAAGACTAAAATGGAAAAGGTTCAAAGGTTTGCCACCAGACTAGTACCCGAGCTGAGAGGTATGAGCTACGAGGAGAGACTACGGGAATTAAACCTCACTTCGTTGGAAGACAGAAGAGTTAGGGGGGACATGATCACCACATTCAAGATCCTCAAGGGAATTGACAGGGTTGATAAAGACAGGCTATTTAACACAAGAGGCACACGCACTAGGGGACACAGGTGGAAACTGAGTGCCCAAATGAGCCACAGAGATATTAGAAAGAACTTTTTTAGTGTCAGAGTGGTTGACAAATGGAATGCATTAGGAAGTGATGTGGTGGAGGTTGACTCCATACACAGTTTCAAGTGTAGATATGATAGAGCCCAATAGGCTCAGGAACCTGTACACCTGTTGATTGACAGTTGAGAGGCGGGACCAAAGAGCCAGAGCTCAACCCCCGCAAGCACAACTAGGTGAGTACAACTAGGTGAGTACACGCCGTCTTGTGCCGTCACTCTGAGGGGAATATTGCTATTGTGTGGTGAGAATAGGGAATTATCAACCAAGCCATTACGACTGTATATCACTGGGAAGGGGTCAGGATAAGGCTTGGGGATGGGACGGGGGGATGGAATGGTGCCCAGGCATTTGTGGACCGTCTGGGATTGAACGGCGACCTGCATGAAGCGAGACCGTCGCTCTACCGTCCAGCCCCAAGTGAATGGGCTTGTGTAGTGAGAGTGAGCTCCGGATATAACACATTTCTTCATGCGTATAACTGGCGATCTCATACAAGTATACTTCCATCTAAAGAATATTTGGTGAGTATACAATGTCCGTTGAGATAACCCTCTAGCGATAACAAGTGTTGATAACTGTACAGGTCGGTGAGAGGTGCCATTACTGGGTTAACTTGAGGTTATCTTGAGATGATTTCGGGGCTTAGCGTCCCCGCGGCCCGGTCCTCGACCAGGCCACTTTTTTGTTTTACACATCCCTAGGAAGCAGCCCGTAGCAGCTATCTAACTCCCAGGTACATATTTACTGCTAGGTGAATAGGGGCATCAGGATGAAAGAAACTCTGCCCATTTGTTTTCGCCTCCGCCGGGGATCGAACCCGGAACCTAAGGACTACGAATCCCGAGCGCTGTCCACTCAGCCGTCAGGCCTAGCTGGTGGAAATATCATATCACGAAGGTTGGAGATCCTATAGGTTGTACAGGTCATTTTGTGCTTATCCGGCAGAGCCATTCTTGGCCCGGATCGTCGAGTAATTTCGTGTCTAGTTACGAAACCTCTACATCTCTCCTCAGTCGTGGTGCTACGAGGTTGTTTGTAACGTTAATAACCCTCGGGTCAGGAGCCGCCATGGTCGAGGGAAGGTGTACAGGTTTGGTTATAATTATTGGATAGTTGTTTAGGCTGTTAGTAACCAAAGGGGGGGGGGTTACGCCCCCAAAGTTGGGCCTCATTCCATTACCGAGATATTCTCACTGAACTCACAGAAATCACATTAGAAATCACAATCACATATATCAAATGAACAAATCCACAAGCGCCGTGATGAGGGTTCGAACCTACGCACGGGAGGTTCCCAGATGCGCCTTAGATTTGCGCCATGTAGATTTGTTCATATTGTCATTGTGTTCCGTGAACTGTCAGTGTGTGCTCCCAGCCCCGTACGTCCAGTGTGTGCTCCCAGCCCCGTACGTCCAGTGTGTGCTCCCAGCCCCGTACGTCCAGTGTGTGCTCCCAGCCCCGTACGTCCAGTGTGTGCTCCCAGCCCCGTACGTCCAGTGTGTGCTCCCAGCCCCGTACGTCCAGTGTGTGCTCCCAGCCCCGTACGTCCAGTGTGTGCTCCCAGCCCCGTACATCCAGTGTGTGCTCCCAGCCCCGTACATCCAGTGTGTGCTCCCAGCCCCGTACGTCCAGTGTGTGCTCCCAGCCCCGTACGTCGGGGAATAAGGGAAGGAACGACGGGTCTGTCTGTCCTGGAACAGTGTCAGGTGGACTTGAAAGTGACGGACAGAAACTTCGTCACTTTCTGAGACTTAGGTTGGCTGTCTAATTTTGAGCCACGGTACTGTGACTTACTGTCTACTGTCCCTGTCTGTTATAGATGTGTGGTTTGCTGTCTGTGACGGTACTGTTTTGTTCACACTGTTCTTATTCTCAGGATTACATACAGACAAGAATTTAAATCCGACAGCGAAGGAGAAATATTAAACAACATATATATATCCAAGTTTTATTTAAGTTATATAACACATGCTCATGATTATCCAAAGATTGTAGTCATATATAGAGTTGATTGTGTGAGCTGGTGGTTCCTCTGTGGCTGGTGTTGAGCCTGGTGATTGTACCTACCTTTAGTGCCTTGGTAATGTTATCCTGTACTCTACAGTCACTCTCATTCTTGCATGATAACTGCTGCTTTTCTTACAATTTTTTCAGCTATAAAAACAGTTGTTTGAATTAATATATTTTGCATCTTGTTTCAAAAGATGAACTTCACGTCGTCATTGCTTGAGCAGAATGTGGGTACGTCTTGTTTATTTTGATTTAATGGTGTAGCATAGTTGTGAGAGATGGTATGGGTTTATGTTCTGATGCGCCAGCCTTGTACTCACAGAGGGCTCTGAGGCGCTCTGTGGCCGCGCACGAGGCGAAGAAGTGCCTGAACCTGGCCCACAGACACACAGCTCTCAGGGGCTGGTCAGGTATCCGCTCGCCCAACACCAACAGGCCTTCTTCGGTAGTCTGTAAGGGCTCCTGGCGAGGGTGTCGTGCTCCTCCAGGGAGTGACGTCGCTGCCAACTGTCGCACCCTTAGAATGGCAGCAGCGGTTTGTTGACGACCTTGAGACTCTCTTATCCAGAGACCGTCTGAGGTCCTCTCCTCTCTATGATTATTATATTTCTGCTGTTCAAGTTCTCCTGGATGATTAACTAAGATTTTAGGGTCCCTTCGAGTTCCTGGAGAGGCATGAGAGGGACTAACTGGATGCGTAGAGGTCTTGGAAGGCCGCGTATACGCCGCCGGTGGAGCGCCGTCTCCTGAAGACAGCGTGTTTCCGGAGACGCCATCAGCAGGTAGCGCTACAGGGCGCTGGACACTAGACATCAACTCAGCCGGTTTTGCTCGCTTAAATGCTGAATGCTTAAGCTGCTGTGTTGCTGGAGTCTGTCTAATTCTTGAAAACTTGGACTTCGATGTTCGTTGCTTCTGGTGGTGCGATCCTCTGGGCCGAAACTGAGCCGCTCTGCCGCCACTTGTCCCTCTTCGCCCGGTCTCCGGCGCGGGCGGACGATGCGCTCCTGGAAAAAGTTAATATCCTTAACTCATCAACGTTGTGAAATATACATGCTCATTATATAACAATTGACAAACCGCGAGTTTTGTTTGCTCGACGGTATAATTTTAGCAGCAAAGACAAAAAATAATCTAGACTAGAGCAGCACTGAAGCTGACAATGCCACCTTTTCCCACCATCCCCTAGTCAAGCTTTTCCAAGCTTCGGCTGACTCCACTAACGCATTCATAAATGCGTCCAACCCGTCCTCACACTAGGCTGGTTAAAGCAGCGGCCGTCCTCCCCAAACGCATTCAAGTTTAACATACTATGTTTAAAAATTGGTTTGTTCTCATATATAAATTAATATTCTTATACATAAAAGTTCTATAGTTAGTTAGGCGTAGGTTAGGTTAGGTGTATAGGTTCTGTTGGCGATTATTTCAACCCGTCCTCAGACCAAGTCCATTCCATCCAGCGGTCGACCCCAAAGACGCATTCATAAATTTTAACAGGATGTTCATTCAAAATAGGAATTTTCTCAAATATACATTAATATTTTTTATATTACCATATTGTGCACAATTAGACATTGGTTTAGGTTCTGTTGGCGATTATTTGTATTTGTAGTACGTGGGTGAAGAATTTAGTGTTGTCATTCAACCCGTCCTCGACTCAAGTCCATTACATCCAGCGGTCGACCCCACAGACGCATTCATAAATTTTAACATGCTGTTCATTCAAAACGGGAATTTTCTCAAGTATAAATTAATATTATAATATATTAGCATATTGTGTATATATAGGCATAGGTTAGGTTAGGTGTTTAGGTTCTGTTGGCGATTATTTGTATTTGTAGTACGTGGGTGAAGCATTTATAGCGTTGTGATTCGAACAAAATTCGTCAATGAAACACTTGTTCCGGATATGTTCGAACGTCAACAGTTGTGAGTCGTGTGTAAACCGCTTTTCATTCATAAACAGGGGGTTTGGCGGGTGCATGGAATCACTTTTGGATCTTTGTTTGGATGACGGGCTGTGTCATTCGAACACAGGTTATCAATGAAGCACTGTTCGAGAAGTGTTCGAACGTCATCAGTCGTGTAACAGCCCGTCCTCCAAACAAAGATCTAAAGTGATTCCATGCACCCGCCAAACCCCCTGTTTATGAATGAAAAGCGGTTTACACACGACTCACAACTGCTGACGTTCGAACATATCCGGAACAAGTGCTTCACTGACGAATTTTGTTCGAATCACAACGCTATAAATACTTCATCCACGTACTACAAATACAAATAATCGCCAACAGAACCTAAACACCTAACCTAACCTATCCTATGCCTATATATACACAATATGTTAATATATTATAATATTAATTTATACTTCAGAAAATTCTCGTTTAGAATGAACAACATGTTAAAATTTATGAATGCGTCTGTGGGGTTGACCGCTGGATGTAATGGACTTGGTCTGAGGACGGGTTGAAATAATCGCCAACAGAACCTAAATACTTAACCTAACCTAACTACAAAGAGTTGTAATACATAATAATTGTAATTTTTATATTACGAAAACCTATTTTTAGTTCCCAAATTGTTCAAATTACTGAATGGCTGATTAATGTTAAACGAGCCTAGCCTGAGGACAGGTAGGTCTTCAACCCGTCCTCAGTCCAAGTCCATTCCATCCAGCGGTCGACCCCAAAGACCCATTCATCAGTTTTTACATGCTGTTCATTCAAAACGGGAATTTTCTCAAATATAAATTAATATTATAATATATTAGCATATTGTATACATATAGGCGTAGGTTAGGTTAGGTGTTTAGGTTCTGTTGGTGATTATTTGTATTTGTAGTACGTGGGTGAAGCATTTACAGCGTTGTGGTTCGAACAAAAGTCGTCAGTGAAGCACTTGTTCCGGAAGTGTTCGGACGTCATCAGTTGTGAGTCGTGTGTAAACCGTTTTTCATTCATAAACAGCGGAAGGGGGGGGGGGGTTGGCGGGTGGATGGAATGGACGTTTGACCATTGTTTATGAGGACGAACTGTTGAGGGTTAATGGAAGTGTTGGACTTACCTTGTCTCCGGCGCCGGGTCGAGTCCCGGTGTAGCGGCGGCGGCCTGGACTCGGGGACCTCCTTGGGTCGCCTGGCGAAGGTCGGGTACCAGAAGGCGCTGCCGAGGGTGAGGTAGGAGCCGTCCACCCACCACCAGTCCTCCACGCCCACACGCACACCGCCCACCCAGAAGGACGCGTTCGTCAGACCTGAGGGTGCACACCCACACGGTCTTCATGTGCGCTTAAAATGTTTTTCGTGCACATGTAAACGTTCATGGGTACGTACATGAGAATACACGTCAGAGTTATTTTGTCGTGCAGGGCGTACACGAGAGAGAGAGAGAGAGAGAGAGAGAGAGAGAGAGAGAGGCCGGGAAGAGCAGGGAAAAGAGACACGGATACGAACAGGAAAACAGAGACAGAAGCCAACACCGAGATAGACAGAGCTAGGGAGAGAAGGAATGCGGAGGAGGAGCTAGAGAGGAAGATGTTTCAGGAGAAGGAAGGAGACAATAGAGAAGGGAGTGGGAGAAAGGGGGGGTGCCTACCACTATTAAACACTATGGGGTGAGATAACATCATCATCTCCTTGTGCTACAGTGTATCTTGTTGACCATGAAAATCTTGCCTCTTGTATCTCTGGACCTTTTAATGTGTTAAGGTCTGTATTATTATCTTCCAATTGATATAATATTTTAAAGATTTCGACGAGATCCGCCCTATCATGTCTGGTTTGTGTTTGTTAGTCTTGTGGCTCTCAACCGTTGATGAGTTCTGGGATGATGTGTGTGTCTGTTGACTAGGCCGGAGGCAAGCCTGGGCTAGGCTTCAACAGGACACCAGTCGGCGTTTTGGAAATTTTGTAAAACATACGTTAGCATGCCGGAAAGTTGAAGACCTGTCAGCTGTTCGTATCCCGCTGGGGATACGAACGGGATACCAGCTGTTCACGGCCCTCGCCGTGTTGGCCACGACTGACATGCGAACTAGTAAATGGGTTTTTCGATCTTCATTGGGTGGCAAAACTGACAAGCCCATAACATGGGCGGTTAATCCTCAGTGGGATTGATCGGCCCGTGTCTGACTACTGGCTGCCTCCCACCTGCCTCCCGCCTGCCTCCACCTGCCTCCCACCTGCCTCCCACCTGCCTCCCTCCTGCCTCCCACCTGCCTCCCACCTACCTCCCACCTGCCTCCCACCTGCCTCCCTCCTGCCTCCCACCTGCCTCCCTCCTGCCTCCCACCTGCCTCCCTCCTGCCTTCCTCCTGCCTCCCACCTGCCTCCCTCCTGCCTCCCACCTGCCTCCACCTGCCTCCACCTGCCTCCTGCCTGCCTCCCACCTGCCTCCCACCTGCCTCCCACCTGCCTCCCTCCTGCTTTCCTCCTGCCTCCCACCTGCCTCCCTCCTGCCTCCCACCTGCCTCCCGCCTGCCTCCACCTGCCTCCACCTGCCTCCCGCCTGCCTCCACCTGCCTCCACCTGCCTCCCACCTGCCTCCCGCCTGCCTCCCACCTGCCTCCCTCCTGCCTTCCTCCTGCCTCCCGCCTGCCTCCCACCTGCCTCCCACCTGCCTCCCACCTGCCTCCCACCTGCCTCCCGCCTGCCTCCCGCCTGCCTCCCACCTGCCTCCCGCCTGCCTCCCACCTGCCTCCCACCTGCCTCCCACCTGCCTCCCACCTGCCTCCCTCCTGCCTCCCTCCTGCCTCCCACCTGCCTCCCTCCTGCCTCCCACCTGCCTCCCACCTGCCTCCCTCCTGCCTCCCACCTGCCTCCCACCTGCCTCCCTCCTGCCTCCCACCTGCCTCCCTCCTGCCTCCCACCTGCCTCCCACCTACCTCCCACCTGACTCCCACCTGCCTCCCACCTGCCTCCCACCTGCCTCCCTCCTGCCTCCCTCCTGCCTCCCACCTGCCTCCCGCCTGCCTCCCGCCTGCCTCCCACCTGCCTCCCACCTGCCTCCCACCTGCCTCCCACCTGCCTCCCACCTGCCTCCCACCTGCCTCCCACCTGCCTCCCTCCTGCCTCCCACCGGCCTCCCACCTGCCTCCCTCCTGCCTCCCACCTGCCTCCCTCCTGCCTCCCTCCTGCCTCCCACCTGCCTCCCACCTACCTCCCACCTGACTCCCTCCTGCCTCCCACCTGTCTCCCACCTGCCTCCCACCTGCCTCCCACCTGCCTCCCACCTGCCTCCCACCTACCTCCCACCTGCCTCCCACCTGCCTCCCACCTGCCTCCCACCTGCATCCCACCTGCCTCCCTCCTGCCTCCCACCTGCCTCCCTCCTGCCTCCCTCCTGCCTCCCACCTGCCTCCCTCCTGCCTCCCTCCTGCCTCCCACCTGCCTCCCACCTACCTCCCTCCTGCCTCCCACCTGCCTCCCTCCTGCCTCCCACCTGCCTCCCTCCTGCCTCCCACCTGCCTCCCTCCTGCCTCCCACCTGCCTCCCACCTGCCTCCCTCCTGCCTCCCACCTGCCTCCCTCCTGCCTCCCACCTGCCTCACTCCTGCCTCCCACCTGCCTCCCTCCTGCCTCCCACCTGCCTCCCTCCTGCCTCCCACCTGCCTCCCACCTACCTCCCTCCTGCCTCCCACCTGCCTCCCTCCTGCCTCCCACCTGCCTCCCTCCTGCCTCCCACCTGCCTCCCTCCTGCCTCCCACCTGCCTCCCTCCTGCCTCCCACCTGCCTCCCTCCTGCCTCCCTCCTGCCTCCCACCTGCCTCCCTCCTGCCTCCCACCTGCCTCCCACCTACCTCCCTCCTGCCTCCCACCTGCCTCCCTCCTGCCTCCCACCTGCCTCCCTCCAGCCTCCCACCAGCCTCCCACCAGCCTCCCACCAGCCTCCCTCCTGCCTCCCACCAGCCTCCCTCCTGCCTCCCACCTGCCTCCCTCCTGCCTCCCACCTGCCTCCCTCCTGCCTCCCACCTGCCTCCCTCCTGCCTCCCTCCTGCCTCCCACCTGCCTCCCACCTACCTCCCTCCTGCCTCCCACCTGCCTCCCTCCTGCCTCCCACCTGCCTCCCACCTGCCTCCCACCTACTCCCTCCTGCCTCCCACCTGCCTCCCACTTACCTCCCACCTACCTCCCTCCTGCCTCCCACCTGCCTCCCACCTGCCTCCCACCTACCTCCCTCCTGCCTCCCACCTGCCTCCCTCCTGCCTCCCACCTGCCTCCCTCCTGCCTCCCACCTGCCTCCCTCCTGCCTCCCACCTGCCTCCCACCTGCCTCCCTCCTGCCTCCCACCTGCCTCCCTCCTGCCTCCCACCTGCCTCCCACCTACCTCCCTCCTGCCTCCCACCTGCCTCCCACCTGCCTCCCACCTGCCTCCCACCTCCCTCCCTCCTGCCTCCCACCTGCCTCCCTCCTGCCTCCCACCTGCCTCCCACCTACCTCCCTCCTGCCTCCCACCTGCCTCCCTCCTGCCTCCCTCCTGCCTCCCACCTGCCTCCCACCTTCCTCCCTCCTGCCTCCCACCTGCCTCCCTCCTGCCTCCCACCTGCCTCCCTCCTGCCTCCCACCTGCCTCCCTCCTGCCTCCCACCTGCCTCCCACCTGCCTCCCTCCTGCCTCCCACCTGCCTCCCACCTGCCTCCCACCTGCCTCACTCCTGCCTCCCACCTGCCTCCCTCCTGCCTCCCACCTGCCTCCCTCCTGCCTCCCACCTGCCTCCCACCTTCCTCCCTCCTGCCTCCCACCTGCCTCCCTCCTGCCTCCCACCTGCCTCCCTCCTGCCTCCCACCTGCCTCCCTCCTGCCTCCCTCCTGCCTCCCACCTGCCTCCCTCCTGCCTCCCACCTGCCTCCCACCTACCTCCCACCTGCCTCCCTCCTGCCTCCCACCTGCCTCCCACCTGCCTCCCACCTGCCTCCCTCCTGCCTCCCACCTGCCTCCCTCCTGCCTCCCACCTGCCTCCCTCCTGCCTCCCACCTGCCTCCCTCCTGCCTCCCACCTGCCTCCCTCCTGCCTCCCACCTGCCTCCCTCCTGCCTCCCACCTGCCTCCCTCCTGCCTCCCTCCTGCCTCCCACCTGCCTCCCACCTACCTCCCTCCTGCCTCCCACCTGCCTCCCTCCTGCCTCCCACCTGCCTCCCACCTGCCTCCCACCTACTCCCTCCTGCCTCCCACCTGCCTCCCACTTACCTCCCACCTACCTCCCTCCTGCCTCCCACCTGCCTCCCACCTGCCTCCCACCTACCTCCCTCCTGCCTCCCACCTGCCTCCCTCCTGCCTCCCACCTGCCTCCCTCCTGCCTCCCACCTGCCTCCCTCCTGCCTCCCACCTGCCTCCCACCTGCCTCCCTCCTGCCTCCCACCTGCCTCCCTCCTGCCTCCCACCTGCCTCCCACCTACCTCCCTCCTGCCTCCCACCTGCCTCCCACCTGCCTCCCACCTGCCTCCCACCTACCTCCCTCCTGCCTCCCACCTGCCTCCCTCCTGCCTCCCACCTGCCTCCCACCTACCTCCCACCTGCCTCCCACCTACCTCCCTCCTGCCTCCCACCTGCCTCCCACCTGCCTCCCACCTGCCTCCCTCCTGCCTCCCTCCTGCCTCCCACCTGCCTCCCACCTGCCTCCCTTCTGCCTCCCACCTGCCTCCCTCCTGCCTCCCACCTGCCTCCCACCTACCTCCCACCTGCCTCCCACCTACCTCCCTCCTGCCTCCCACCTGCCTCCCACCTGCCTCCCACCTGCCTCCCTCCTGCCTCCCTCCTGCCTCCCACCTGCCTCCCACCTACCTCCCACCTACCTCCCTCCTGCCTCCCACCTGCCTCCCACCTACCTCCCTCCTGCCTCCCACCTGCCTCCCACCTGCCTCCCTCCTGCCTCCCTCCTGCCTCCCACCTACCTCCCACCTACCTCCCTCCTGCCTCCCACCTGCCTCCCTCCTGCCTCCCACCTGCCTCCCACCTACCTCCCTCCTGCCTCCCACCTGCCTCCCACCTGCCTCCCACCTGCCTCCCTCCTGCCTCCCACCTACCTCCCACCTGCCTCCCACCTACCTCCCTCCTGCCTCCCACCTGCCTCCCTCCTGCCTCCCACCTGCCTCCCTCCTGCCTCCCACCTGCCTCCCACCTACCTCCCACCTGCCTCCCACCTACCTCCCTCCTGCCTCCCTCCTGCCTCCCACCTGCCTCCCACCTGCCTCCCACCTTCCTCCCACCTGCCTCCCACCTACCTCCCTCCTGCCTCCCACCTGCCTCCCTCCTGCCTCCCAC